GTTTTTGTCTTACGGGCCCAAGTACACGACAAACACCAGAATTTTCAAAACTTCCTGCATTTCTAAGAGGACGCCAAATACCTGTTATATCAATCATCTCAGATTTTCCATTGGTCTTCATTGTAACAAATACTGGGAAGTATCAAACCAATATTTTTATTAGTTTCATTCATTTCAGCTGCATGCGCAACTGGTATAGATGGTTTTACATTTACATTATATAAGAGCACTGCCCTTAAGCTGACATCTGACGCATCTGTGAACAGCCACCAATCTTGCGTAACGTATTCAACCTCAAATTCTCCCTTGAGATTTTTGATATTGCAGTAAACTTTACCGCACATAGACAAGAAGAAAGAAAATTGAATTTGAAGTTTTCTAGACGTGATAAAATTGTAAAAGGCTCCACCCTTGTAAACTTTATCATATTTGCTCGGTGTGCTTCTTCCACAGTGTCAAATCTCAAATTAAATCACTTAATTCTGACTGTGTGATGAGGTGCGGTGTCTCCTACTCTAGAAATCGTTTCTTCGTGATTCATCTCACTCGTCCTTGATAGACCACTGCAGAAGTGGTATAGGGACAGGCATTGCGACTTCGTGTTCTACTGGCCTAATGGCGGAAGGTACGCTTGGATATTTGACAAAATTAGGGAAAATACGTTTTGATTTCATGAAGAACCCCGTTTCGTTCGTTAAAACTAACAGTCGGTTTTTGGGTTGTCGCGATGTGCAAAGCATCGTATGGAAGGATGTGTGCTCTGCAAATGTCTACGTCAACATATCGAGCGTCTCTGCAACATAAATGGAGTGCCGACAGTTTGTCCTGACCTACTTTACATTTAAAATACAATTTGTAAGCTTTTTTTACTTTCGGTGTGTGTGTGTTTCTCTGTGATTTTGTAGTGCCTTTCCCACATACATAACAAGAGAAATGTGGCGAATGTACACACTTGCAAGGCATATTGGAGACTATTCATTTTCAGGAATGATAACACACCATGGAAGAATCTCACAATTTTGAAGCACATTAATTTTTATGGAAAGGCTCCCACTTTGAACATGACACCAAACCGAATATTACCGCGGTGAAGTCCACCAGTAGCCTAACCTTGGCGACACAATCCCTAGCATTCCACGCCTCTTCAATCCTTGAAAAGGAAACATAAGCAAACGTGTAACTCATGTTTATTGTAGTGTTGTGGGCTGCTTCTTTGAAAAGATACCGCAGCAGCACTAAGCGCTGAGAACGCATGAGGAAAAAAATAAAATTCCCGTCCATCGCTTAACATTCAAACCCGAAATGTCAGAAAATAAGGAAAACGCACGTGATGGCTTTAAATGAAGTTCATTTGCATATTCAGGGAATCGACATCTATGATTATAGTCTGTTTTTACGGTACGTAATTTCATTTTTCCTCAGTGTTATTTCGTGTTTCCGGGTGCATTAACTGCTAAGGTCATTAGTCCCTTAGGTGTACTGTAACTATCCCGAGAGTTAGCGATATACCTCCTCCGCAGGAACATGCGGCACCGACCTACATGTCCCTTTCTCCCCCAGTGGCTCGCATCACCGCCAGCGGGCCGCAAGATACGTGATTCGTTTGTTAAGGTACAGCTAAGGTATTGATCTGAGAAACCACGGAAAACTATGGATTAGAGCAACCGGCCGTTAGATTTCGGACGCTGTCTGAAGTATCTTGCTATTTCGGTAGGCGATGGATTCGTAGGCTTCCGCGGCCGGCGTCATTGGATATTTGGCTGTCCAAGATGAACCGTGCCTCAGTCGATCGAGTTGACGTTTCCGGCCATCGTGTTGTAGCCTTCTTCAGAGCTATACTTCTGAAGATATCATAGCTCTGAAGAAGGCCACAGTACAATGGACGAAACGTCAATTCGATCGACTAAGACGCGGCTCATCCAGGACAGCCAAGTATATTTAGGTAGGCCCCTCGTGATCTCAGACACTGCAGGGCAGTGGCCGATCCAGGAGGGGGTATAGGGGTGATGCCCCCCCCCAAGCCTAGAGAAAAACGTTTACCTTTTTTATTTGCCAATTTGTTTTTAAATATTTGTTTACGTTATAATTATGTAATTATTTAAAAATAATATTGTAGAGTAGCCTACATACACAACAAAAATATACAATAACAAATATGTTTAATATTTAACAAAATTCGATGATGCTCCATCGCAAAATAATGATCCGCTCGATCCGCCCCCACTGCAGGGGCGACGCTGGTTTCCCCTCAGCAACCGCAACTGGTGCGAAATCGTGCGTAATCGCTTGAGCGGACCGGCAGGAGTCGTGGGGAGGGCTGCTTCAGGTGACTGTGGATACGTGAACGGGATGCTGGCGGCGTCGGCGGAGTAAAGGGCTGCTTAGATCGATCGGCAAGGCCGCACCCTCATCCTCCCGGCCCCGGCGCTCCCCAACCTTTCGAGGACCACCCCCAAGAACCGCCATTCATCATGAATGAGCTCCCGTATTTCTTCGGCCTTGCGGGTTAATTCCCTCTAGAGAACACTCGTTCGACCGAGGCTGAAGGGGACCAAGTCCAAGAGGAGGAAGCGGGGGGTGCCCGATGTAGTACTTCCACTCACGGATGGGGCGTTTTTACTCCGAACCGTGAGTGCTCATTCCGGGCGCTTCAACTAATGGAGTCGTTAGTCCGATAAGTGTAGTGCACGTTGTAACCCTGGAAGTATTCCTTTCCCCACTGAATCGTGGGATCCGTGGCCAGCTTGAAGGATTTGATTAATTTGTATTTTCTGGAGCATCAACAGCTATGGCCATTAATCCCGTAAGTGAAGTGAATATTTTTATCAGGGAAGGAGTGTGTTCTTCCTCCGTGGATGGAGAGATCCGACGCCGACTTACAAGACGGCTTGCGGGGGTTTTCCTCATCCTAGTGTCTCATCAACGGAGCACCGTTCCAGCTGCGAAAACTATAAACTACGTACTGGTCTCTCGGCATGTCGTAGTGTAGATCATTTTGTGTGTGTGTGTGTGTGTGTGTGTGAAAGGAGAGGAGAGGACAAGAATCAAACTGGAAAAATTGCGCGTGGTCCGTAGACTGTATGCTCCGGCATTCGCCTGGTGTTGATAGCAGAAACAACGGAAAATAATCACAGCATCCGATACTAGAATTCTCCTCCAGTCGGCGGTGAATTCGACCTAGCCATCTAGATAAAATCCTGCCACCGTCGGGACTCTAATACGTAGATCTCCGGCTCAGAGGAAGTTCAGTGACAGTTGAGGTCCTCAGCCACCTCGGCCAGCTTGAAATCTTTCCCCATCAATTATCTCCTGAAGGGGGTATTATCACAACCGAGATTACTCCATATAAATCTCCAGGCATGTGTGTGGTTTTGTAGTGTATGTACATTCGTGTAACAGGAAAGGAGAGAACAAGGAGGAGTAAAGAGAGAGTGCGCTTCATAGACCGTTTTTATTAGGGTACTGCTGCGGTACTCAGTTGGCATTAAGCGAAAGATACACGGACAACTACCAATTAGAGCAGCCGGTTGCTAGAACTGTTTCTCACAAAGTGGTTGAATTCGACCCAGCTATGAAGCTAGAGTTGAGAGGACACCGAAGGATAGACATCTTAGAACCTCCCAGTGAACGATGCTGAAGACGCTGCTGAGCTACCAGACCCAGTATTACGTGATTAGGGTTGGTGGTTCATGCCAGGCTGTCATCCAAACTGGTACGTTAGTTGATCGTACATAAACAGCACTAAATTAATTTCTTAGGTCGAAAATATCCATTTGATTTTTTCTCACAGACCGCAATTTTTTTCAGCAAAGAATTCAATTCAGCGTGTATATTCATTATATTTAAATTAGAATATTTGATAAATTTCATATTTCAATCGCTACTGTTAATTCTTGATTTTGTCTTTCAAGAAATCGAGCAAGTATTTTTCCCTTTCGGCTTCAAAATGGAAAGAAATGCATAATACGGGATATGAAGAGAAAACGTGTATTTGGAATCTTATTTTTTTGGAATATTAGGGAGAATTGGCAAAAGTTATGAAAAATGCTACTTCATTTGAATTACTGAAGGGTTGGAAAGTGCTAGAAGTACACGTTTAACGTCCTGGAAAGCAAGAGAGGTGTTGAACACACACTCACTCGTGGGGGGAGCGATGTTCATTAGAGCAGGGAAATGAGGTACGTTTAGCGATTTCAAACTGCAAGTACAAAACCCATTACCGAGAGAATAGAAGGTAGTCTACTACAAAAAGTAGGACCTCCTTTGACTACAAATTTGGGGTTCGTTACCTACTCACACAGTCTTCATCTTATTCTCACTTCGACATTCCTTTGGAAGTGAAACATTCCTTGCAGTTAAGGAGATCGACACTCAACCGTGTCAAGAAAATTGTAATCTGGTTTAACTACACGTCGGAAACAATATATAATTTTGTATGTTACTTGGAGATACAAATAGTAGTGAAAATTGATATGCCCCACACTACAGAGGGCCACAAATTAAATAGTTCACTTTAACTAGCTAGGCCGAGGATCATCACAGTCAGGAATTTTCTTTTGTAGTTTTCTGTTATGCTTTATTAAAATTCCGAAAAACGAACTTAGTGCTCAACGGAGTTTAGTAAAAGGAGTAATAAAATGTTAAGAATTTGTTCACTGTACAAAAAATATTGTACACTACGAAATTCTTTCTGTTTTTTCAAAATTCTGTTCCAACTGTCGTGGTCATACGTTTTCATTTTTTTGGTCGTGTGATAATCGCGCGATGCGTTAGATGTGCCTGTATACATAAGGAAATTAAAGTGAACAATCGTAGATTTAGGTCTCATATTTTCAATTTAAGTAATTAAACACGCTAACTTTCCTTCAAACTGTAATGTAGAAATGTTTTCTTAAGAAATGTCACATTTGTATGGCATACGTGATTTAAGGGATGTGTTTGAATGCTATTTGGGATGCCAGTAGCAAAGTTTCTCCCATAAATAAATTGCTAGTCTAGTTACTTTTCTCAATAAAAGTAATATTTAATAATAAATACTGTTACAATATATACTGTTACAACATGCTTACACACAACGTACAATTGTGATACTATGTTTGAACAAAGATCATACACCAAAAAGGGTATTGAAAGTAGAGCAACACAGACATAGAATTCATTTCTTCAATTTTAAGATCTTTCGTTTTCGCTGTGCAATGCATTTGTAATAGTAACTCTAACTAATATGTGATGAAACTATCAGTGATAGATGAACAGTACAAAACCTTACAATGAAGAAACTAAACAAATTCTTTATTTCTTATTTAACAAAATTATTCATACGAGGCGTTCAAACCACGCAAATTAAGTAATGTACAATACATATTTATAATTTTTCAAAAATACTGACTTATTACAAAAAATATGTTATTTTGAGAAACGCCCATACGTATGTTGTATAAATAAACGCTATATACTTTATACAGAGCTACTAATATTAAACGTTTGATCACAGCTCCATATTGAGGTCGCGCCTCCACTAATAATCACAGTTTTTATCAGTCTTCATTCACAGTCGGATCAAAACTTGATCAATGGGTTGCCTACAGATAAACAAAAACTCAATTACGAGCAAAAACTTTAATTTCTTCCTTATTTTTAAATTACCACATTAAACACACAGTACCAACAAATGCTTCAACAACAGATATAGTGCCCACGTATAAAAATAATCAGAGGGAGGGCAATGCAATAAAGAATGCAGGATAAGCGATGGAGTGAAGCTAACGAGAACGGTGAGATTGAAATGGATGAACAAAAACCTACGAAGATGCAAACATAGTTCTCAAAAAGTTCATAGAGTGGGAAAACATGTATTATAAAAAACGGCAGAAAAGACCAATGCTTTTTCAGGTCGGTTTGTGGACAGGCATGAGGGGAGGGAGGTAAAACGTTTATCAGTTATTTGAAAGTGTTTCAGATTATTTTGCTTCATTTTCGGCCAAATTTCAATAGATCTTTACTCGTTCACTATATTAACGTCGGGAGTTTGTAATTCCTCGACAGTAGCGAACAGATCTTCGTCTCCGTTCTCGTCTTGGCTTTCCTCTGTAGTTACTTCTTCCTCTTCATTTTTAGGCTCACTGTCATCAGTGATATCATACTCAATTGTGTCGTCTTTATCATCAAATTCATAGCCAAGCTCTTGTCCGAACGGTTCCTTACTCTGCAAGGAAGGGCAGCCTTCACCGTCGAGAGAGTTATGATCATATTCATCTTCAACAGACTCTTCGGTCTCTTCCTCTTCAAGAGACACATCAGAATCGCTTTCTTCTTCTGCTTCATCATCTCCAACTCGACCTTGTTCTTTATCTTCATCTTCTATTGGTTCTTCATCTTCCCCTTCATTTTCGCCTTCAATAGATCGCAGATTCTCTTCCATGTAATACAGAGAATCATCATCATCTTCATCTTCATCATCATCTTCTTCATCATCATCATCTTCATCATCATCATCATCATCATCGTCGTCGTCGTCTTCATCTAAAATAACATCTATTCCCTCTTTGGCATCGCTTTGTACTTCTGATCTACTTTCTTCCGGACTTTCTCCCTCAGCTCCTTCGCTTTCTCCTGTTTCGACATTTCGATGAACAGCATCCCGCACTTCCACATCCAATACTTCTATGCCATCTTCTTCCTCGCTATTGGGCGGTCCAGAATACAAGGACTGGAATCTGAGTGTAGGAATCCGGTTAGGTTTCCTTGCGTTCACCTCCCATTCATCAGAAGAATCTGTATGGAATAAATCAGATTCGGATAAAATGTCAATATCACTTTCATCTGAAGACCCAGACTGGTCGACCTCAAATAAGGTTTCCAAATCGGCCGGCATCGAACATCTGAATGTTGGAGAACCTCTCCGCCTAGAAGTGGAATATGCGGAATGATCCACATCCGCAAGTCCCAGACCTGCATGTCGCGAACTTTGACTAGTCTTAGGTTTGGAATCTTGACTAGGTTTTTCAGTCTTGTCGCACGCCGAGTCAGAATCCGACAAGTCGGAATCGCTGGAGTACGTTCCAAACGGCCTGTCTTCATCGGGGCCGGTGACCGGCGGTTCCGGCGAACGTCTCGGCCCCCAATCCTCAGATGACGGATCTACGATCTCTACCATCACCTGCCTGAAGGCATCGTCCACCAGACTGGGCAGGTCGAGTGTGGAGGCGTGGAATATCGGCGGGAGGGAGTTGAGAAATCTACTGGTTATGCCGATCCTGCGTCCTAGGTTGCGACTGAAGGAGTTGAGGCTCAGCTCCAAGTGGCGTCCCAAATCGCGCCCTAGGTCGCGGCGAGCGAAAGGGTCCAAGCCGCCAGGGTCCAAGCCGACTGCCTCTCCTCGCGCGTGCCCTGTGCTCATGCCCGCATTGCGCCGCAACGCCTCCAGGGCCGACTGTCTAAAAAACTCCTGCAAAAGAAGAAACGGGCGTCAATTGGCATTCACCTTACCACTTGGACGGCCATTTTCTTTATGGGAACTGACTATCGTAAAAACAATGGAACTTTCGGATGGAAACACTGCAATAGCCGCAAACGGTCGCCTCACCTACACCAGCTCCATTCACCAACACTCATAGATATGTAGTAAAATAGAAAAAAGAAACTTTCGCCACAACGCCACTTTTACTTTCAGCACAAAGTTTGTAGAATTTCCGATTCTAAGTGCTGACGTCTACTCGGGCAAGTCCAAAATATTCCTGCATTCAAATACCTAAGGAAATATGTTTTTTTTATGTTATAAACAGTTTAATGTAACTTTTTGGTAACAATAATGGTCTTTATGCTCCACACCTTTTTATCTCGATTCAATTCTAAGGATACAAATTATAAGTATATATTCTGGCGGTCAATGCTTCAGATTTGAAGTTGCAAGTTATAATTAACATTCATAATAATAGTGCAATAATTTTTTTCAACACAGTATTAACATTGTAATGCAACAGTATATATTTTCTCGCATTACGTTTTAACGGCTACCGAATATTATAAAACTACACGAACCAGGTACATAGGACCTGCAAAAGTGTTTCCAATCAGAAAAAAAATATTTGAGCTGGGAAATGAACGCATATCCTAAGAGTTTTGCCCACTATTCTTGTTACCCCCTTCACCATCAGCCCAGCAGATATTCTCAAACTTCCTTACGCCTTTTTCATGTTAAACATTGCAATTTTTGAAGATACAAAGAGTTGGCCGAAAATGTTACCTGCCTAATTTTTTAAGCGTTCTTTCCTTTATCAGAGGGGAAAAATTGAAGAAAAAAATTTGGAGCCACTTTTGAAAAAAAATATTACAAATTGCTTCTACTTTAAACAAAACTACTTGTTTGTTTGTTTTCAAAATATACATGACCGTATTGAAGAATCTAATTTTCTTTAACAGATTTTGTAAAAGAAAAACTCAAATTTGTACTTTTGCAACATTAATTTTTGCAATTTTCGAAAATAAACAGTGAACCAAAAATGGAGCTAACGCCTTTCTGTTTTTTATGTATACGAGAAAATTTAAAGAAAATTATTTGGAACCGTTCTTGAGAAAATAATTGTGTAAACATTGCCTATATTTTACGCAAAAACAACTTGTACTTACGAAAATTTTTACATGACCTTACTTAATATCTGTCGTTTAAAAACAGACTTCATTGACGGAAAAGATATTGTAGTTGTAAAACGACGGCCAAAAATCAGGGATTTCAACAAAAACTGTATTACTATTCCAGTCGCTATCTGAGGGAAAAAATTAAAAATTGGATTTTTTAAATAAAATTTTGAAAATGAAAGCCACCCTTTTTATAAAGCGAAGTGCTCGAGCTGCAACGGACAGCAGGGAGTACGAGGACCGCACCAGGGAAAATGTCGCAGGAAAAATTTATTTGCGTCGCCGTCAATGGGTTCAAATATGATAGGTCGTCTCCACTACATTCTGTAATATTTGAAACTAGAAGAATTGTAGTGCTAGACATTTGCGTAGCCCGAGGTTCTACTGGTTAACGCTAATAAGACGAAAAACAGGTTCACGATATTTCAAGAACCATCGACTTTTGCCACCTCCGTGCGTGTAGCGCGCTCGCTCACCTCGTAGGAGAAAGTGCACATGTATTATTTACTTTGCGTTGGTCGTACAAAATATTCACTCAATGAATTATTGATACTCATCGCGATGCAATACCAGGCTTCCGCAAATTCGTTAACTGATTCGTCTGATATGTTTGTGGTATACCTGGAGCAGATGTTGGGCCAGAATGAGCTTCAGTAGAAACTCGTGCACCGAATGACTCGTCCCGGCGCGGCGTAAGCCATCTCCTCGCTCCAGGCGACTGCGTACGTGCTCATTCCGCTCAACAGTGATTCTCCGTGACTTGCTGCTGGATGATCTTCGAATTGATGCAACGAGGGAGGCCACTTGGTGAGTGTCAAGAGTTGAATACGGTCGTCTACGTCGGACCCAGCCGCTGCTAGACGCACTGGCGGTCGTCATCACTGCTGACACTAACTAGCGTGGCCACCAGACACCTGCTCACAGTGGGACGGCCTCCAAGGCCGTCTGCTGCACGTTGTAATGAGATCGCGCCTTGTCGCGTTTTCATATTTATTGTTTATTCTTTTCTAATTCGCGATCAGGCCGAATTAATTGCTATGTTTATTCAATCATCCATCCATTTAGTTTTTTAAAAATTATAGTTATAAATTGCCGTATTTATTTTCGTGTTTTATTCGGTCCTTCCAACGCACGCTAAGAAGAAATAGGAGTATTAGAAAAATAATTTATCCTACCCCCTTTGAACTACCTGTAAGGGGGAAGGTTCGAATTTCCATAATCTTTCTCAAAATGTTTCACAATATTTCGAAGCAAAATATGCTTGTCTATTATACTATGGGCATATGATATCTCCCAACTCTCCAACAAATTATTAATACTTGGTTAGAGAAATAATGCCCAGGAAAATGCAGAAATCAAACCTTACACAAAGCTTGTATCATAATTCGTGCGAATATCGTCAGGCGATGGGGTATCATGTATTCATTTTTCTAAAACAATATAAACATTCCACTCTTGTGCTCTCTATTGGGGCCGAAAATCCTACAAACCGGAAGAGCAAGTGAACCAAACCAATTTTTTTTTTATTTTTTTTTTTTGCCAAATCAGATCTTTCAAAATTTATCTCGCTAATTATTTTATCAGTACATCTCTTCAGAGCATCGGAGCACTTCAGCAGTTCCTTTTTCTCTTATGTGTCTCTGCGTCAGGTCATCCATTCCATGAATTCTTTCTACATTTTTTGCCTTCTGCTACATATATCCGGCACGCTATAAACACTTTCTTCTCCTAAACACTTCCTGTAGTTCATCATTCTAGTTACATGAACCAGGTGGACCTCCGCCTCATTTCCGAGTGTTTCAGTACATACATAGTAACCTGTACACCGAGAACTTCATTACGTCTTCATACATTGTATGTAATCTGAAAGTTTTGATTACCTAATGAGGACACCGAAGTACAGGATAGAAACGTGTGGTCCGTACGTTATGTACTTCTATAATGAATTCTATAAAAATGTCTTAACATAGTCTTAATTATAATATTTTGATTACGGTTTATCTTCAAAACTAACATTTTCTGACAACTTGCATTTTTCTTGGAATGTCGTTCGCTCCTTAATAATTTTATTCCCTTGGAATGTGATATAACTGTGGTAAATATTTCCAATAAATTGGATACAATGTCAAAAAACGTTGAATTTGGAGGAGGACAGCTTACCTTTTTCCTTTAGATTCTTCAATGTTTCAATCATGGATTTTAGAAAAGCGTAGAAAATCTTATTTTCCAGAGCCTCACTTTAAACTTCCTTGCTCTCCTTTTGTCTATTAATTATAAAGATAAACATTGTAAAGAGCAGTCTCCTTCAGTACGTATCTATTGAGAACGACTGTGGTACAGCTGGGAGATTAAAATCCTCGGAGAGTGTGCAGGTTTCCACCACCTACTTGTGGTGCGGGACGATTGCGGTGCGGAAGGCAAAAGCAAAATGCCATGTATCCGACTTGATCATAATTTTTTCGTAACTGCACAGAAAAACAAAACACTATCGTAATCAACATCCAGCCTTCGATGCAGAATTAGACTTTTTTCGTTAAAACAAAAGTTCGAAAGTCATTAAGTAACCAAAAAATTAACTCTTGGAAGGATACGGTATCGTTGAGACAAGAAACTTTGCAAGAATCTATAATTTTAAAAATATTTTAAATTTGATTAATTTGTAAAATATCGAACATTTACGTGTATATTTTCTATTCATCTGGCTATGGTATCAGTCGTAGTAACTAGTTGCATTTCTCTGCCAAAGACGTAAAATTCAGAACAGTACGTCTGTCGAAGCAGTATCTGGAATTCTCCTTTCATTTAAAATGAACACTTAAGTGTACAGTTTTGAAGTCCACGAAACCATCTCAATCTGCGATCAACGACGACACTGTTGTTAAAATTCAGTTCCTCCAGGTCTGACATTTTTAACTTCAGCGTAACTTTTGTAAATATTCTGCTTCTTTATCTTCGGTCATTCTTTTTCTATTTAATTTCTAACTAATATATATTGGACTAACGATTCTTAAAATGAATTTCACTTTTTGTGCAATACACAACACAGACTTCGTTGTGTATATCTCAGCAGTTGTGCATTTTGCAATTTTTAGTTGCGGTTTACAGCACCTTTTTCCTGGAAAACGACTCATTTGTCATCGAATGGTAACTTTCCAACAAAAAGCATTACGATATTACATATCATAGTAAGTTTATTTTCCGTAGCTGATTAATGGCAAATGAGGAAATATGATTTAATAAAGTATTTTCGGGACATCCAATACACAACGCAGATGTCATTCTACAATGACATTCTTAGTCTGATCATCTTCAAGCGAAGTTGAGTTGCTCAAAATGTCCATACTATCACTCCACAGCAAAATCTACCATTGCGATAACAAAACAGCGTACAAACAAACATGATTATAATGCAAAAGTATTCTTTAATTTTGACTCACAGATTCATCATATGACCTTTTGCTTTCACACACTGCTGATCACTTTCAATTATTCAGACCATATTTCGATTGTTCTATAAATTGTTTTTGTTACCATCGTAAATGTCCCGTTCTCTCACATTCTTTCAGTGGGTTGTCCATAAATTCACTTTACCCCATTTTCTCGTTTATTCTGCACTTTTTTCTCACTCTCCGTCATGTTTTTCTTTTTCACTAAATTCCCTCACGTGTTTCGGCTTTCGATTTTTTTAAATCTCATATTTTATTGTTAGTATAATTTTCTCATCTTTCTAAGATTACCGAAGATTTCTCTACAATCCTATTCAGTGTTCGCACGAATTCAATTGTTTCTCTACTGGATTTTCTCCTTTTAGCATTTTACTTCTTCTCCTCCGTTGCACATATTCATTTTAACTCCAATTTTCTACACTCATTTTCGTAATCAATATCTCGTCAAATTATAGTGGTTGGCGTGCGAGTTTCTTCTCTAGAAATATCGTATTTTTTTGCATAAAATTTATTTCTCCGAGTTTCACTTTGTGTTTTACTCCCCAATTTTATGGACGAATATTTGACTTGCGAAGTGTAGTCAAATTGTTAATTAATCCAAAACAATCTTCAAACATAACTTCTTGGACAATCTCCTTGGAATTTTCACAACACCGAAATAACTTTGATCATTATTTCTTGATCATTATTAAAATGGTCAGCAAAATTTACAAACTCCATTCTTGTGAATTTGCACTTCTCGTGAGGCTTTTGTTATTTATACCTTATACAACCTTCTATTTTCTTATTGATTTCAAATAAACTGTAAATATTAACTTCTCACAAAAATTGAATACACTGCAAAATAAATGTTCGTCTCTATATTTGAATGTCAATAATCCTCCTATTGTAAATATTGATCACTGCACTCATTGAACTATTCATATAAGATTCCCACGCAACGTAATTTTCGTGATTCAGTTTCTTCTAATAATAGTTCATTGTTAAATTAAAAATATTTTCTTTGATGTTGGTGCAAATATCATTAATCTTTTAATTTTTTCTCGATCTCATCTCTCATAAATAATTCGCCTTCTTATACGAGAAAAGTTATTTTATACGAGGATAACAAAATGCAATTGTAATAAAATAGTTTATAAATAAATCAATAAAAATAAACCATATTTTTTGAAGTTCACTTTTTAACCACTTCTAATGGTAAATTTTCTAGACCATACATGATATTGATCAGTATTGTTGAATATTTTCTTAGGAACATTATAACAAAATAATTCATAATAAGGAATACCGTTAAACCAGAGTTCAGGTTATCCAAATGGGAATCGCTGTATTGTTTACTCTTCTTCGCGTATAATTAAGGAAGATTGTGAATCACAATTGCAATTGAAATTGTTTTCATAAAATAATTAAAGATGTTGTCATTGCCAACAATGTTTTTTAATTCAATAGCAGCTTTCGATGGCTTAGCCATCATCATCAGTTGTCTGCTAGATGGAAGCCACAAAACGACTACGAATTGTTTTCATTATTGATATAACGTATTATTCACGAGTTATGCTCCGAGTTTTAAAATATGTGCAAAATAAGTCAAAGTCAGCAGAATACTTTTTTCTCCAGAGAACATGAAAATCACGCAATTACGTAATGTGGCTAAACCGAATCTGTAGTTTTTAATAAATAATTATTTATATATTTATTGACGTTATTTATCTTATGTAATTGTTGGTTCATGAACTCACATTTTACGTACTTCCTAGAATTGTTTCGTCCACTGGAGGCTGAATGTCATTAGGTGTAGTACATGTAATAGGATAAAATTCAAAAGGAGGCTGGAAGCACAGATGGAAGAGTTCTTAGAAACGAAAACATTTTGTAAGTTCAATACAGTGGCAGTTGACACCCGATGACAATTGCCAAAGCATGAACCTCAGCGTATCTCCTTACTACTGTGATCCACAGGAACCACTGTCCTTACTCCAAAACACACGGCCACTGGAGTGCAAAGGATACTTATACATGGGTCGGCTTTGCTTACTGCGACACCCTCAATCACAAAATCGTGTTGGGGCATCCTCTCCGAAAAAAAACTCAAATATGGAAAAAAAACTTTTAAATAGAAACTTAGTATATTGAGCTACTTTATTAACAATTATTTTCAGCATCACAAAGCCATACCCCCCCTCCGTGCAGGCATACTTTCTGAACCCACGCCTTAAGCGATCGGACATCTGTGCGATCGCGATCTATTACTGTGCGATCCAAATTATATTGAGCTCTAATGCTCGAAATGGTACCCCGTCTAAGAGTTGCTGTTTTTCCGCCACTTCCGACGTGTTTACTGCTTGCGCGCCTGTATTGTTCTTCATTATGAACACCAGACGCTAACAGACATTTAATTTAAATAAATGCGAAACAAGTTACGGATCCATATCA